ACTATATAAATTTTTTTTTCGTTTATTATTTTATTATTATCTCTTTTTTTGCAGAAAAAACAAATTAACATCTGTATAAAATCTCTTCACAGTAAACGAATTTTTCTACACATTCCCGTCAATTTTTAATTATTTTCTTATATATATATACTTTTTAATTGGTATAAAAGTTCTTCAAGTTATAAACAAGATTTGGCAATTATAAATTGAGTTTTTTTGGTTTTCAGAGTACTTTCCTCGAAGCTTCCAACTCGAAGGCAGCTTAAGCAACAATATTTATACATAAATCTGTACACGATATGATTGTGAGGCAGGTGTGTTGTCTAGAAATCCGTTGTTCATCCTCATGTCGTCTCCAACAACACGTGAAGTTTCGGGAGGAATCGTCCACTTTGATCACCTTTAAAGACGTCTAACTAATTAAAAATATGTATTTTTAAGTTAAATATTTAATTAAATTTAAGGAATTTTATGTATAAACAACTCACTCGTGCTTCTTTAGCATCCTGATGATCCGCATCAGTTTGGAGAGAGGGATGAGAGTAAGAGGAGCGCATGAAAGGAAAGGAAAAAAAAATTGATAAAATGAGATTTATATAGAAAAATCCATTGAGGAAAATTAAATTAATGACAGATGCCAAGTGAATTATTAATAAAACGACACAAATCTATTCGGGAATGGGACTATTAAACATGTGATATCTTCCAAACTGAATCACGTATGTCATACAGGCAATTAGTGAGGAAACGATCGTTAGGTTGACCGTGAGAGAAAACAGATGGACTGTCATGTATCATCACCATCCCAACAGATGTAGCAGACATAACAGATGAAATATGGAAATCCATACGATTACTAAAACCTCAATTTATAGAGTGTATCTGCCTTTTATCCTCTATCATTCTATTAAGAAGAGCTTATGATGAGATTCTGACAAACTTATTACAAGGGATTCATAGGGATGAACTATAGATAAATCTTTCACGGGGAGTCGATTTTGCATAAACTAGTTAACAGCATCCCTCCTCATCTATGCAGTTTCGAAAGAAATCCAGCCTTTTGGGGTCATTTTAACGTTATAAAATCTTACGTAAAGATAAATTAAATGATGAAAAAAGTATACTTACGTTATAGACATGGCTCCCTGATGGTGATGATGAACAGCGATAAAGTGCAGCGAGGACAGAGCTGTGACTTCTTTTTTTCTAGATAACGATGCATCCGAATAACATTGCAAAGTCTGGTAAACACTGGGAAGAAAAAAGATCGAATTAAATCAAAGTTTAAGATTTTCGGGAGACGTTTTAAGAGTTTTTAACACTGTTTTTACCTTCTATTTGCGGCCCTTTATGAGTTTTGGCCGCGATAACTTTTGTTTAATTATCTGGAAGACTATACGACTGCCATTTTTTCGATTTGGACATCTCGACGATCGAACGCTTTATTATTACATCATCTGGAAATAAATCTCCATTATGCAGCATCCACAAAGAATACAAAGAAACTGGATAATGGAGAAGAGATGAATTACAATTTTTTTTCCATTCTTACCTGCTTTACAAGGCACATAACTAAGGACGGTGATAGCTTTCTGGTATCTGCAGCTGAACAACCTCATTTGGCACTCGGAACCATAAGTTACACCATCCGATCCGCATACTGGATTTGGAGATTCCTCGGATGTACACTTAATATCGCATACACACTGAGCACGACCCTTTTTTTCTCGACATATCGCTTCGTGACTGCACTTTAACTGATCACACGATCCAGAAACTGGTCTAGCAACAGACTCTACAAGAAAAAAAAATTAAATTATATATATAATTGCTCCTCAATTCAGTGATTTTATTGAAAATAAGATAAGATTCTCTTTAAGTTTTGTTAAAGAAGAGAATCTTTTACAGTAAATACACATGTCGAGATCACACAAGAGCAGAAAGTAAACATAATTCTCCATTGTGAGATACAAAAGAAGCTTCCTTCTCGCTCCAACAGAGAAAATAAACATTCTTCTTCTTCTCCTTGTTTAAAAAAATGAGCAAATATTAATATATTATTCTTCTTATGCACAAAACATAGAAAGCTTTATAAATATAGAACAGAGAAATTAATCAATAAAACTATTCAGAAAAAGTATATACATCTTCAAATGAAATTCAATCGATCATTTGGTAAAGTTAGAAAACGTTCGGATGCTTTTTTAGAAAAAAAGGACATCATTCTTGTATTTTTTTATAGATTTTATTTTAGTTTTTTTCTTGAATAATTGCCTGAAAGAATGAATTATGGCTTCCCTCCTCTTTTGGTATTAATTTGTTCCACAACCAAGAGTTATTCCTCATTCGCCTTTCATAATTCAAAGAACTCTTTAACAAACATCGAAAAATTTACTATTCGTTGGATAAGGAAGGAAGAGGAAGAGGAGGAGGAAAAAAAATGATGCGATGGAAATTAATTTATGGCTATATACTGTACTTTCGAGAGAAACCTTTGGTTTAGCTTTTGGAATGTAAAAATATTTGAAAAAGTTGAAAGTTTTTTATCAACTGAATTTTCGCATTTTTATCAAACTGAATGTTGGCATTTTAATCAATTGATAAAGAATATTATTCTTTATTTTATTTTTTATACAACTAAAAGCATTTTATCAACCGCCTCTAAACATTTTTAGCAACTGAATAAAACTACATGCTTTATCTAACATGACCTTTCCATATAAGTGAGAGGAACCCAACAGTGGATAAGTGGATAAAACTCTAGTAATTATTTGTGGGTTCGAGCCTTAAAAATGAAATTTTTCGGGATTTCTTCACGCGCCTAACACTTATATAGGGGTCAGTTTCCTATAAGTTTCTTATAGAAAGCCGGCTCCTTCTTAGCAGAATGCATCTCTTGCATCATCTTATCCCATCAATCGAATCCAATCCATTATAAAAGAGGATTTTATAATAAAAAAATGAAGAATTTTGTTATTAATAAGAATTTTATTTAATATAATTTATTGCATAAAAACAAATATTTTTCGATTTTATAAAAGATTTTCGGAATATTTAGCATCTTCTAAGAGAGTGTCCTTATAAATCTAAGCAATTTTAACAAGATTATTATCATTTTATCAAATAAATAAAGTAATATTTTAGAGTTTAAGGCTGTCCTGTATCAAGATCATTATCATTATCTTCCAGATTTCTCCTAAGTAAAGGATACTAAAGCTAATTAATCATCATTGTTAATAAATGAAAGCAGTTTGTTAAGTAAACAAAAGACTTTCTAACTAACAGAACTTAAACAAAATTAACTATAAACGTTTATATAACTCGCTCTCCACCCTTTTTAATTAGTTAAATATTATCAAGTTACATCAACTGATACAACTTGAAGGTGTCAATTGATGTGTAAGATTACTCCACATCCAGTTTAATATACAAATATACACTTTCTACATCAATTATACAATGGAAAGTTTTATCAGCTGTGCATTACAGAAATTACATTTAACTGAGATGAAGATGAATTACCAGAAAAGAGGTGAACACGATATTTTAGAGTTAAATTCAAAGAGTAAGATTTGTATAAATTATTAAATTAACACTGCATCAATTTAAATGATTATAATGTTTAAACAGGGATCAATATATTAACTTTTCTAGAGTTTAATTAACTTTACTAATATAGAAATATTAACTGCGAATCAATAAAGTTTAATCATAAAAGTATTAATAAAATCAATAATATTAATTGTGGATTCGTGTAAATTAATATATTATTATTATTATTATTGTAATTTATTATAGGGTTTTTAAAAGTGTTTATTTTGTATTTTGTAAAGTTCTTGAAAATAATTTTTATCATGGGACTAATTCTATAAATTGACTTTTGTTGCTGTGTTAAAGTGTATGTTTGTGAATTGAAACGTGGTAAGATTTGGCAAAAAAAAATAATAAAAAAATAAAGATAAAAAATTAAGGAAAAACATAAAGAAAGAGAAGAAATTAATATATAGAAAACGAGAAAATAAAAACCACTTCTTAGTTATAAGACGTGAGAAAGAATTGTTTACTCTCATTTTATCCAAGTTATCTTGAAAATTGGTTACACTGTTTCTCGTCAATTGAATTTTTTCAACGGGTTATTTCGGAAAAAAAAATAAATATTCGTAGAGAATAAAATAATAAAAAATAAAATAAATTAGTTTATGTTTATAGAAAAAATTCTACAAAAATAGAAAATCAATCTTTCAGTTGAAAACTCGAGTTTCATTATAAATAGTTGATAGATGCCTTTTTCCCTACTGGTTTCTCCTGTTTATCTACTATTAAATAACATTTTTAAGGTAAATTTATTTTAAATAACGTTTACAATTTGTTTAAAAATAAGGAAAATTAATTTAAAATACGTAAAAATTAAAAATATATCGTTTTAAAGTTACATACTTCATACATTATCAATAGTGATTTATTAGTTAAAAGATGCTTGTTATCTTTACTGGTTTCTACTGTTAAATAGTATTTTAAAGTAAATGTATATAAAATAGTACTTATAATTTGTTAAAAATAAGGAAAAATTAAAAAGAATATAGTTTTAAATTTACATGCTTCATTATGCATTATCAATTGACCATTAGTGTTTTATCAATTGCTTACAAACTTTATCTGTTTTAGGAGTAATCAATTTTGTAAGATGCCAATTGACGTATCGACAAATTTATCATCCTTTAGAAAGAAAACAATACAAAAGAGAATTAATTTAGTTTATTCCATCAATTGTTTTCTTACAATTTTTGTTTTGGGAATGGCCTATCTTCTAGAGTAGGTCAATTGACAGAAAAAATTCATTTTTAAAGTAAAAACTGACAGACAGACTAACTAACTTACCGTCTAAACATCCCTCCGGGAGTAACACTGTCTTATGTGGACAAATATCGCATTTCATCCCTTGAATGTTGTGTTTACAGACGCATCTGCCTGTCATCTGTTCGCAATCATCTCGAACCGAGCCATGTTCATTACATCCACAAGCTAAAATAGAAAGAAAAGAAGAGGAAGAAGAGAAAAAACCACTTCCAAATAACACAAAATGAACGTGGTCTATCTTCTTTTCATCATAAAACTCACTCTTTGCTGATGTCATCAGCTTTTCGTAATATTTGGAGAAAAATCGTTATCTTTAACTACAAACCTTCCAAGTAATTTTTCTTATACTTAAACCCACCAACAAACCGATTTTACCTTCTTAAAAATTAATACAAAAGTCGGAAGTTTCATAAAGAAAAAATTANTAAACTGTATTTAACTGTAATTACCATCCTTTTTTTTCTTTAAAAATCCCCTTTTAAAGCGAAAGCACATTTTAAATTCGAGATATTTCTTAAATCGAGGTATTATTTGCCACTACAATTGTCTGTATGTAATGAAAGTTTTATAATATTTTATATTTTTTTACTTAATTATACTTTTTACTTTGAAATAAATTTCTTCAAAGTACATGTACTTCGAATAATTACCTAAATTTTTCCTAAAATTCCTTCCGAAAGTGAAATTTGGGGGTTAAAAGCAATGCTGTACAGCACGGGTGTCCAACCTTTTTGATTCTCTGGGCCACATTGGAAGATGTCATGGAGTTTTGGGCCACAAGTATATTATATATACTTGTGATCCAATCATTAAATATACAAGTATATTTAAGGATTAACATGTGATAAACAGATTATAATGCGAACCAAAATTTTGGCAAAACGCTGAATAATGCAAATTTTTGTAGGACATAGAAAAGAATTTCATAATTCGGACTGTCAGTTTTCAAGCAGAATTGCTTATGGAAGAAATACATTTGATGGTTTAGTAATCACGAAAGAGAATATTAATAAGTATTAAATATTTATCACGAAAAAGGATATTTTAAAGAATTATTTCTACAGACACTTTCAATTTTTACTTAGAAATAGATAAATTCATTTATTATAAAGGAGACAAACAAAAATTTACTTGAAAAACACAAATATTTGTTTTATTTGGGTCTCTAATTAATAAAAAAAAATAACAAAACACATTTTAAAGTGCATTTTTATTCGACTAATATATTTATAAATAATATGTAGCCCAAAAAGCAGCCAATGCGCCAAATGAAATTTTTTATGCCAAACTAAAAAAGGGTAGCCAACTTTGGCGCAAAGTAGCCAAATCATGCAACATTGAAAGAAATACTAAATAAAGCTAGAATTGGAACTCAAAGGATTATAAACCCAAATGCGGGAAAAGGAGAGAAAGGACAAAAGATAAAGAAGTGAGGAAGATTGGAAAATTAAGGGTCCATATTTGCATAACAGAAAATCTATTTAACCCGAGCGGTCAAGGTCTCAGCCTACCACTCTGGGGGACCCGGGATCGAATCCGGACAGGTCGAGGAATCCCAGGAATTTTTCGGGGGGTGGTCTGTTCGGATATGTCGGACTCCGTCCATCACCACCCGGTAGCCCCATTGTGGGTCTGGCCTAACCCATAATGGGCCTGCTATAAGAGGCCCTCTTAATGCTCACAGGGCGGAAAGAGTATTAAAAAAAACTACTTTTTCTCTTTTGGCCTTTCTCTCCTTTCCCCGAATTTGGGTCTGCAATTCTTTGAGTCTCAACTTTAGCTTTATTTAGTATTCCTACCTCATTCACACATTTCAAAGTATTTGAAAATATTTCCTTTCCAATCAAAAATAAAATATGTATAAAGGTTTACGGCTTTGTGAAACTTCTTTTATTGAGTTTATGCCGTTGAAATAAATAAATAAACAAAATAAAAAAA